GTCGACCGTGGTTCACGTCCCGGACCCGGTGGCTTAAAACTCACGCCGGGCGTGTGTGCGTGCGTGCCCAAGATCCCGAGAGGAGAATGGAGGAGAAGTGATTGCGGTGTGACCATCCCCCCTGGGGGGTGATTTCTCGCTTTCTGTCTCTCTGTCTCTGTCTGTCTGTCTGGCGAGCGCATGCGCCCTGTAGGAAAAACCTCTCCAAAAAAAAAAAAAAAAAAAAAAGACTTTTGAGATGGTGAAGCTTCAAACGTGCATGTCCCGCAAGACATAAACCTAAAAAGCCATTTATTTCAGGATAAAACACAACCATTGTGCCTGCCACAGTTTACACTGTCATTCATAGCAATGTGGACTGGGTTGATTTCCGGCCATTAAAATGAATTGGCATAGGGCCGGTTCTGTGGCCTAATGATTAAGGCAACTGGATTGCACACGGCCAACTGTATCATTCAAGTTCCAGACCTAGTCACTTGAGAAATATACTGAATACACTAAGTGCATATGTGAGTGTGCCCAAAGTCTCAGAAAAAGGCAGAAATTGAGGAGAGTTTCCCCATGGGTGATGCTTTCTTCTCTCTCTCTCTCTCTCTCTCTCTCGATCTCAAAGGCCTTCTAGCCTCCTCCCCCCCCCAAAAAAAAAACCCACACAAAATAACTACTCTCAAACCAGTTATTCCTTTACATGTGACCAGACAAGGCTGGGGCCACACACTTTTCTGTCCTCATATCTCACAGAAAGTGTCAGAATTGGCCTCAAAACCAAGCCTGCTGCTTCTAAATAGCATGGCCCCTCCTGAGAGCTATGGAAGCTTGGGAAACATCCTCTCCCTCTTCTCATATACATTCTCACAAATGTTTCAAGGAACATTGATGCAGAACTTCGTGTGCTTAGGGGGTTGAAAATGAGAACTACACGTCCCAAGTCCTGGTCTGGGGCTCACACTCTAAAGGAGACATACAGAAACAGTCGATTGTGGTCTGACTGTGCTCGCTGACACCGGGAAAATTGCAGTTGGGGTTTCCGTGATAGGAGGTAGTAAGTGGGGCTGGATGGGAGGCCCCCAAAACTGCTCAGGGCCCCCTGTGATGGGTTTGGAAGCCTGAACTTGAAGCAGAGTCTTGAAAGCCCTTGCATGATTGCAATCAGATGTTGGATGTGAGTACTTTAGAGTTTTAGAAATACAACGTTTGGGGACCAGCAGATGGCATAATGTCTACGTTGGTGGACTCACACGTAGTTGACTTCGGTTCAAGTCCTGGACCTGGCAGTTTAAAACTCACGCATTAATAACTTCTTTGTGCCCAGAAGGCTGTGCTCAGCAACTCTGCAGCTGTCACTGTGTCACGGAATTAATATATTGAATTACCTTGTCAACATTGTGGATACCATTTGGATTACCATGAGAAAAAGAGAAAGGAAGGTCAAGAGACTCGTGAATGATTAAAGAAGGCAAAAAAGATGATTGATCTGAAGGCTAAGCTCTATCACAACAGCACCACGCTGAGAAAATACAAATGAAACAGACTATCAAGATGCATGAAAAGAGGAACCCCAATCAAAAGAATGATGAAAAGATTCCACAAGGAGCAGTGCCTGCCTACCTGGTGGACAGAGAGGGACAGTCCAGAGCTAAAATACTTTGCAGTATGATTAAACAAAAATGAAAAGGAAAAGCAGGAAAATAGGAAGTCCTTCTACCCAAACTTTGAGCCCAGGGAGAAACAGTATTAAAAGTTATTTGAACAACAAAGAGAAAGGAGGCCTACATAGCACTCCCTTTGCTGCCAATACTTGTGTAAAGAAGAATCCCTCATCCCCACTATATACAGCTTTGGGTGTTATTAACAAAGACACTGTCATTGAGTTGAACATGAGCAAGTTGGACCTTGTGACACAAGGAGGCAAGTTATTTGGGGGAAATACACCTACCTTACCAAAAATCCTGAAAACGATGGATGAATAAATGCTTCCCAGTTTGGTAGCAGTTTCATACAAGTAACTCCTTGTCATTTTTAAACATGATACACCAGTCTGGAAAACCACGATGACTGTGCTGTTTCTGAATACTATCAGTCTTACATGTCTGCAGTCATCAAAAGATTATTAAACTGTACAAAACATTTTAAAAAAATCTATCCAAACTTTTGTGTATATGTTAAAAACACTAGAAAGGGCATCTACCCCAAAAGGCACCTGTGAATTGAATTAGTCACCAGATATAAAGGGTTTTGCATTTGTCCTGGCTGATTTAAAAGAAGGAGTAGGGCATGCAGGTGGCATGGTGGTTAAGGTGCTGGACTCTCATATGATTGACTTTGGTTTGCATCATGGACCTCAGGGCTTGAAACGTATGCCAGGTGTGTGTGTGTGTGTGTGTTTTCAAAATTCTGAGAAAAAAAATGGAGGAGAAAGGATTGTAGCAAGACCATCCCCAGGGGGTGATTTCTCTCTATCTATCTCTGTCTCTGTGATGAGCACACACACAGTCTTTCTCTCCAAAAAAAAGAAAAAGAAAGGCCAGCAGGTGGTGTGGTTAAGGTGCTGGACTCTCCCACATTGCTGACTGCAGTTCAAGTCCTATATCTGGCAACTTGAAAAATCATGCCAGGCACTTGTGCGGCCTGCCCCAAATCTCGAGAGGAGAATGGAGGAGAAGGGATTGTGGCATGGCCATCCCCCCAGGGGGTGATTTCTCACTTTCCCTCTCACCGTCTCTGTCTCTCTGTCAAGCATGCTTCCCATGGCAAGAACCTAAAAAAGAAGAAGAAGAAAAAAATAACTTTCAATAAATCTAACAGTAACTATGTTTTATAGGGTGAGAAAGTTATTGCTGCATCTACTGATACGATTACATTATCTTCCTCTTCATTCCATAAATGGAAAAGATAATGTGATTCGTTATCATGTCACACCCACTTTGGACTCCTGGGATGAGTGTGTGCTTTCCATGCTGTCCTCGAACATGTCTGTGCTACGTGTGATGCACTAAGCGTGTTCCTCTATTCCCTGTATTTGTCGGCCGCACATACCTTGAGTGCCACGTGAAAGACCCCATGGGGATTTGAGCCCATTTTCCACCTGCCCAACTGCAAGACTTGCCCTGCTCACTCAGATGGAAAGGGTCTCAGCGTAGGAGGGAATGAAGGTGCAGGCCCAAGAGTAATGTGGCCAGCTGTAGCCCACGACTCTGCTCTCCTTTTCCAGACAGTGTACACAGCTTCAGGAAGAGTAAGACCAAGTAGGTGCCCTTTGAGGATGGGTGCACCCAAGGCCTGGAATCTCACAGCCCAGCCCTGAGCACTGTCAGCTACCCACCAGTTCTGAGGGCCCCTGCTCTCAGTACTTGCTGAAGGCTGAGTCATTCCAAAGAGGAGAGTCATGAAATGAGAATGTGCAGGGGAGGGGAGGAGGGATGGGAGTGTGTAGAAAGAAAAACCTCTGTCTGTGAGTATTAGAGGACTTACAAGGAAAGAACAGACCCCTCCCCCAACACCCACAACTACTCAGTATTTAAATTTACCAGAAAGCTTTATTCTCCTAGATACCAGTTTATAATGATAGTTTTCTGATTCACTATAGAAAGTTTAAAAATATAAATATGTAGCAAGAGAGTTAAACAAAAATCCCCCCAGTGTCTTCTAGCGACATTTTATAGAAGATGAAGGCATTATTCAGGCCCCAGTGCCTTTGACTGGAAGGCCAGCAGACACTGAGTGGTAACTCTTCACAGGCAACCTAACAGCTAAAGTGCAGGAACTCGGAGTCCCAAAGAGCCTCATAGAGCAGGGTGCATGCTGTTTACCAGTCTTGTTCCACCATGGTTTAGGTCTGTAACAGATAAGGCCACCAACATACACCTTCATAACTGACTACTAACAAGGCCCAAGGGTCCTTATCCCAAGGAAAGGTAAGTCAAGCACCTGGAGGCCTGGGTGGTTAGAGACTATTCCACTCCCCTCCTCATTGTCCCCTCACCATTCTCCTGCCCTTCAAGACCCTCTGAAAGGCCTGTGGGGCAGTGAAACTTTCTCAGTTATAGGTGCCAGGCTGGTGCTGGTCACTGCAGGTCGCAGGAGCTCTCTCTGCAGCAGGACCCATCACATAAAGAGCTCACTCCCTACTCTGGAGTCCTCGTTCCAAATTTCCTGTCCTAATTTAAAAAAAAGTACCAAAAACATTCTGCACAAGAGGTAGAAAGATAAGGGACAAACCAGCAAGACCTGGTCCCCCTCTTTTCTCATCCTGCCTCAAATGCTCATTTTCCTGAAGCTCCTTGGTCCCATCTGTCACCATGGCTAGGGCATGAAGGCGACAGACCACTGAACAAGAGTTGCATCAGTTAAAGGAGGCCAGTGGGAGACGCCCTTGCTGCTTGCCCTGGACACTAGCCCTTCCACTTGAACCCAGCCTGTCACCTTGTCCCTGCATTTCCAGGAACACAAGTGCCCATGGAAACCCTGGTACCCTTTTCTGTCTGTAATACCTGCCGTGAGATGGCAAGTCCCCTGGCGTTTACTCACGAAGTTGCCGTAAACTACATCACTGTGAATAGAACATGCCTAATTGTGCCGAGCCCCGGTAGCAATTCAGCCAGCAGTAGTGGGTAGTCTCATTTACTGATCCCCAGGAAAGCAGAGAGGCAAATGAGGGAAGACAAGAATTCTCCCTGGTTTGAGTTACTGTCCTCTGGCCTTCTATATACCTCTGTTCTCTTGCTAAACGTGGGACAGTGCCACTCAGTAGAAAAGGACAAGCAGCACCACTTTTGTCTCCCTGGGCCTGGGGAGGAGAAGTATGGTCCACAGCAAGGGCAGCTGTCTCTCCACAGTGACAATGTGGGGTCCATGCAGGAGGTAGCTAAGGAGAGAGCTCCCCTTCCAGTGTGATGACAGACTGCAGAACGGGGCTGTTTCAAAGTTTCAGTGCTAGAAAACCATCTCATAGGTGAACACACAGAATGGGGGTTCATGACACCGGATTCCACAATTGGGGCCTTTATTTTTGATCTGTTGCAACAGAACTGATAAGGTCACTTGGGTGGCAGGCACAAGAGTGTCAGAGGGAAAGGTGGCAGCAGGAAAAAAAAAAGAGAGAGAGAGAGAGAAACGCTGCGTGCGGAGATCCTCACGGGGAGGAAAACCGGCCAACAAACAGGATCCCATTGGTCTGCTGCTCCCTGATGAAAAACAGGAAGGGGCGATCGGCCCTGAAGCTGGGTATGATCCTGGCACAAAGTAACATAATCACGGCAGCAGTGGCCGCCGCGGCCTCGGTGCCCTCCTCGTTGACCTCCACAAAGGACTTGTGCACGACCTTGGACAGGAACAGGTCTCTCCTGGACGACATTCCGGAGAAGTCTGCGCTGCCCTGCTCGAAGGCGTCGGTCATGCCGAGCCTGCGGAGGACGGCCCCCATGTCGTAATTTTCCTCCAGCTTAAACCTAGGGAGGAAAACCTTCACCTCTTCTTCATCCATCATATCATCCCTCGTCCAGTCTAAGAATTTCTCATAAGTTATTTCTTCTTCCACCTGGAATAAGAGCGTTGGTTATGCATTTATTTATTTATTTATTTATTTATTTATTTCTGAGAGGTTTTCGCTATAGGGCATGTGCGCTCACCAGACAGACAGAGAGAGACATAGAGACAGAAAGCGAGAAATCACCCCCCAGGGGGGATGGTCACGCCGCAATCCCTTCTCCTCCATTCCTCTCGGGATCTTGGGCACGCACACACATGCACCTGGTGTGAGTTCTAAGCCACCGGGTCCGGGACGCGAACCGCGGTCGACTACGTGGGAATCCAGCAACATAGCCATTACACTAACTGCTGGTTCCCCATATATTTATTTTTGCCATGAACAAAAGAGACAAAGAAAGAAAAGGAGAGACAGAGAAAGCACCTCCAAGAGGGTCGTCACCCCCATTCCTGGCCAGCCTGGGTCATAGACTCCTGCCTGCCTGGTGTACTCAGGGAGGTCTCAGGGCAGGAACTGGGAACCTTCCCACATGGGCCGGCCTCCTGAGCGTTTTACCACTGCCCACATGTGCAGATTTTAGACCCAGGACAGTGCTGTCTACCAGGGCCATGTGCCAGGATCTGGGAGTTCTACACAGGGCAGCTCAGCACGGCCTGGTCAGAGTGGCACTAGGGCGCACACAGCTCACCGGAACAAGAGACATGGAGAGCTGCTAGAGACACCCTAGGGCAGCTCCCTCCCGTCCCTGCAGGATTGTCACTTGGAGCTCGTTACCGTTTTCAGTTCAGTGTTTTCATCTGGAAGCATGATGACCATGTTCAGCTCCTGGCTGACATAGGGCAGCACCAGGATTGTGGTGGATATTTCTCCTACATGGGTCATTTTAAAAGTCGATTTCATATACATCATTTGCACAGGTTTTACCACATCCTAGAAAGGGAACAGTGAAAACATTAAATCAAATCAAGACCCGCTGGGCCAATCTGACAGAGCCAGCCACACTTAGGCCCTAGAAACACCTTCTTCCCTTGGTGTCCAGAACATCCCGCTGGCCCCTCTCTGCCAGCTTGTCTTCATTACGGCAACCTCCAAATACTGGAGGACCCACTGCTCTTCTTATGGTGGATCTCATTCATCTCATGACTTCATTTTTTATTTTAATTATTTATTCATGGTTGCCATAGGGCACATGTGCTTGTCAGAGAAAGACAGAGACAGTGAAAGGGAAGGTGAGACATCACTTCTACGGTGGTTCGCCATGCAGCAATCCCTTCTCCATTCTCCTCTCTGGATTTTGGGCACACGAGCACTTGCACCCAGCATGATTTTCAGGTGGCCGGGCTTAGAACTTGAACCCGGGCTGGTCATTTGGGAGAACAGCACCTTAATCACTACCTGCCAACATCCATTTGTTTAGTTTTTCCATTACCAGAGGGTGTGTATACTCAGCGGACAGAGAGAGAAAAAGAGAAAGATCCCTCCCATGGAGCATGGTCATGACGCCATCGCTTCTCCAACATCTCTCCGCCATATCAGGATGTTGGTGTGCTCACACAAGTGCCTGGTATGGTTGTCACATCGCCAGGGCCAGGATTAGAGCCATGCCTAGACATGTAGGATCCAGTTCCATTAATCAGTAGGCTATGGGGCCAGTCCCACGACTTTAAACACATGAGACAGTGGCTGGCTTTGGTCTGCAGGCTGCAGAAGCTGACCCCTGCTTTAGACAGTTCCTCCCTGCATGTCTCCAAGACCCAAGCCCTCTAATCTTATAATACATAAGGATCTAACCTCAGTAGCTGGGTGACTCACCAAATACGTAATTGTGTGATATGTTTCATTTCCTGTAGAAATAAGGAACTAGGGAACCAGCAGGTGGTGTGTCATTGAGGGTGCTGGACTCCAACTTGGCCAACCTCAGTTCGATTCCCAGACCTGGCGTCTTGCTTTTTCACTTTCTTTCTCTTTCTCTCTCTCCCTCTCCCTCTCTGATCAAATTAAAGTGAATAAATAAAGTTAGATAAGGGACCAGCAGTTAGTGTAATGGCTATGTCGCTGGACTCCCATGTAGTTGACCACAGTTCGCGTCCTGGACCCGGTGGCTTGAAACTTGTGCCAGGCGCATGTGCGTGCGTGCCCAAGATTCCGAGAGGAGACTGGAGGAGAAGGGATTGTGGCGTGGCCATCCCCGAGGACCAGTGCAGCTTGTCCCAGTGGGCTGAAGGACTGCAGGAAGGGGATCGTTGTATGACAGAGTCCTGTGGAGGGCTCTCCCATCCCTCCTTCCTCTCCCCACCCTTCTTGTGCACATGCAGGTGCTCTCCATGAATTTTAAAAGATCCATATCAACTCAAAATCTGTGTCCTCGGACTCCGTACCCCAGTCCACGCCCCCGCCCACACCACCACCACCACAGGCTGGTGCACTTAGCACTGCAGCCCTTTCCGGTGTTTTTCTCTACTACAGGGATGAGAAAGCAGATACTATTCCTCACTCCGATTCACGTGAAATAGTTCTGGACTTTGTGATACAGAAGCAAGGCTTCCCTTCCTGAATAGGATGGTCAGACTCTCCACAGGAAAAGGTTCTTGCTCTTGGCCCTTCGCCTCCCCCTCCTCCCTGCCTGGTCTGGAAGGTGACCTCTGTGCCATCTTGTGACCATGAGTAAGAAGGCCACATACTGAGGACAGCACAGCAGGAAGAGAGCTGATTTCCTATGCATCACCCACAGCAGGCCTGGTCACTGTTCTCCAGAGCTCCAGGGAATTTTATAAGTCAAAGTACAGTGACTAGGGATTCTGTGACTTGCAACTGAATGATGTCCTGACAAACATCTTATTAAAGATTATCATCCAGGTTAAGGGACCAGCAGTTAGCGTAATGGCTATGTCGCTGGACTCCCACATAGTTGACCGCGGTTTGCGTCCTGGATCCGGTGGCTTAAAACTCACACCGGGCGCATGTGCGTGCATGCCCAAGATCCCTAGAGGAGAATGAAGGAGAAGGGATTGCGGCATGGCCATCCCCCCTGGGGGGTGATTTCTCGCTTTCTGTCTCTCTGTCTCTGTCTGACGACCGCACATGCCCTATAGCAAAAACCTCTCCCCCCCAAAAAAAAAAAAATTATCATCCAGGATAGTATACTTTTGCCAAGAGAAAATACGACAGTTCATTTCAGAATAAACCTTGACAGGAAATACATTTCTTGAGAAACTGAAGGAGGGTTCAGGTTCAAATCAACCTGGTTAGGTCAAAACTAACTTATGGTCAGTAGTCAAGAATACACTGCAATGAGTCCATCTTGTGTATTTTGGCATGTGTGGGAATATCTTTATAATTAAAGATAAGTAAAAGATAAACTGAATTCTGTGAGAGAGGGATAGAGGGCTTAGCCAAATAACGTTTTCCAAGCTCGTGCAGGCTCAACTCTGGGCTTATCCTATGGACATGTCTCTTTGTCTGCCTGCCGTTAAACACAACCTGTACTTACATTATGCTTGCCCTCAAAACTAGACGAAAGCAGTCCTTGGGTCAGTATTTACTGAGCACCAACTACGTGCAAGGCACCAGTATGATAGTCATATACATTCAGCTGGTCTTCATTAGTCCTTCAACACCTGCAATGTCCCATAGAGGCCAGCAGGGGGTGCAGTGACTGCTTAAAGGAGGGACACAGACACCCACGCCAAGAAAGGGCTGTCTTCAAAGGCTTTGGATGGGATGCCGCTGGAAAGAGAGGAGTGTGTAGGAACTGATGGGAATGAAGAGAGAGAAATGGGGGAAACAGGCAGGATTAGGTCCACCAAGAGCCTTGCTATGGTTTGAATGTGTCCCCCAAGAACCCACGTGTTAATATTTGTGGAGCCATTGTATCAGTGTTGAAAGGAAAGGTTTCATCTGATGTGCTGACAGGTGGGACCGCTGGGAAGTGATGAGGCACCTGGGTGGGGTCCCCACAACTGAGTCCTGGTTTCCAAGGAGAAGGAGTGAGACAAGCAGAGGCACGTTCTGCTGTGCTCAAGTTTCTGCCCTCCACTGTGTTTAGACTAGCAAGATGTCCCTCACTAGATGTGGCCCCAGGACTGTGGTCCCATAAACTGTAAGCAGAATAAATCTCAATTTTCATAAAGTACCCAGACGTAGGTAATTCAGTTATCTAGTAATAGAACAGACTAGAACAAGACTAGGGCAAGCCTCGTCCACCACACTTTGGAGTTTGGACTTTATCTAGAAGTTCTGAGAAGCCCCGAAGGGCCTTACTTAACCCTGAGCGCTACACCTTCAGGTTGCCATGTAGACAGAACGCACCAGCACGGCACGGCGGGGACAGCCCAGGGAGCCGCAGGAGTGACAGCCCAGGGAGCCGCAGGAGTGTGTCCACCTGTGACGACACACGAAAGGATGAAAGGACGGGAAGGGCGAGAAAAAGGCCCCAGGCTGGGGGGGGGAAGGCCCAGTGCTGGGGTTCCCAAGGCTGCATAAGCACAGGTGGCCTCCTCATGTCGGAAACCAGGGCAACACCGACCTCCTTTGCTGTCGCGCGATACTCACCTTGCTGACTTTGAATGGGCTCTCCCTGGTACTCTCTCTCTCGAACTGCCTTTCCCAGTTTCCTTTGAAGTAGATGGCATTGACCAGAACTAGTTTAGTCAGTGAATTCACTGAATCTGGAGACAGCAATTCTGTAATTTTTCCTGCAAGGAAGGAGATTGGAAGAATCAGTTAGCCAAAAGACTGCTAATAGACACACTAGGGATGATAGTCAGATGAGTTGTCTCCTTGAGTAGTGAAGTACATGGATAAAGGATTTCACTGTCTTCCAAATATAAAGGGATTTCTGACCCTAAAACAAAGTGACAAAAACTTTTAAAATTCTGGTAAGATAAAACCATTGACAAAAATAAAATGAACAGATAGGGACCAGCAGATGTGTACTTGTTACATTGCTGGACTTACACATAGTCAACAGCGGTTCGAGTCCCGGACCCATCAGCTTAAACTCACACTGTGCGCATGTCATGTGTGCCCAGGATTCCAAGAGGAGAACAAAGGAGAAGGGATTGGGATGTGGTCATCCCCCCAGGAGTAACTTCTCACTTTTTGTCTCTCTGTTTCTCCATCGAGCGCACACACTCTATAACAATAATCTCTCTAAAATAAAAAAATGAATGTATAGATGTTAATATTGTGCAGGATGTATTCATAACACATGTGACAGAAGTAGTCTAGCACATATGACTTAAAAACAGGAACTTAACGGATTGTCAGAGTCAGTATTTAGGAGCTAGATGGTGGCACAGTGGTAAAGTTGACACTCTACAAGTTTGACCCACTGGGGAAGGTTCCAGGTTCATAGCCAGAGACCTCCCTGAGTATGCGAGGCAGGTGTGTGTCCATGATCTGGGGCTGGCTCGGGCTACAGGTGGGTCATGGCATCATGACTGTTTAGAAGTCCCCCCCATGGAAGAAAGACATAACTAAACTTTAAAATATAAACAAAGAACATAAGATGTCCTTTACAGGTTTAAAGAAGAGTTTAAATTAAGAGCTGCACGTAGACAAAGCGTGGCTAAGTGTCTTGCGATAAGGTGTGAAAACTATAGAGCGTAATTGATACCATGAAGAAAAACAGCCCAGACCTGTGACGAGTTTTCTTTAGACCATTTGTAAAAGGAAAGACTATACTAATGTTAGCAAAAACAAAACAAAACAATCAAAAACATTAAAGTGTGGCCCGTTCTGGAAGAAGTGTACCAAATATCCAGAGACATCACACATTCATTGATGACAGCAGGGGAACACTGGAGAAAATGTCATTGACTGACATTTCAGAAGCAAACTTTCAAAGCTCACTGTTACTCAGAGGAAAAATATCCTGTTTATGTTTGACAGTCTTGTGAAGGAACTGACAATGAGACTGATTAAACTACTTCTAGAAATTTTTGGGGGGGGACCAGTAGTTAGCATAATGGCTATGTCGCTGAACTCCCATGTAACCGACTGTGGTTCGAGTACTCCACCCGGTGGCTTAAACTCATGCCGGGCGCGTGTGCGTGTGTGCCCGAGATCCTGAGAGAAGAATGGAGGAGAAGGGATTGCGGCATGGCCATCCCCCCTGGGGGGTGATTTCTCGCTTTCTGTCTCTC